GAATTTCCACCCTTTGGAGCCATGTTGGGAGGCATATTTTCGGACAACAGCAGCAGCTTCCACATTAGATGGTAATCACTCTTGTATTTATAGACTCCTTGTAAATTAGACCCAGACAGGCAATAAAATGATCTTCTCTATATTTACTTTTAAGCTGTTTGAGAAAAGTAGTGCTAAATAAACCAAAAATTTTCACACAAACCTATCCCTCAGTAAATGTCATAGCTCAGTCTTACAAAATCATATTGTGGTCTATTTGTGTGCTCTTAATGACTTTCCACTATCTGGAAAGTGGCATTATATTCCAGCTGTGCAAGCACTGAAATTTGTATTCCAAAATGGTTGATGCTTAGGAAGAGAGCCGTGATTGAAACCAGGTGCAGATCATTATGCTTAATACTCTGCGCTTTTCTTTCTTACATCTTAGCATTTTAATGATCCTACAAGATACTTTTTCTAACTCAGAAGTTTGCAGTGACCTAAATGAAGGTATATTTGCTTAGTAACAACAGTCTTTTTCATCATTTTTTTTTAAAAAAGAGTTCAACTTAGCGAACATTTTCATTAACATATATTTATTTATTTATTTATTTATTCTTTTTAGATACACATGACAGTCGAGTATAACATATTGAACATGTTACATATTAAACTTGGAGTATAATTTATTCAAACTAGGATCCCATTCTTATGTTTGCATATGATGTGGTATGTATCCATATATGAGCACAGGAATGTTATGTCTGATTTATTCTACTGTCTTTCTTGTTCCTGTCACCCCTCCTGAATCATTGAGAGTATAGGGCAATGAATACTAGGTGACGTTTTTGGATAAGCAAGTAACACATTACTATAAAGAAAAAAAAAAAAAATATATATATATATATATATATAGCTTCAGAAAAATTCAAGAAATATAAAAGAACTCAGTGTATTAAAAGCAACAGGAAAAAAAAAGTAGCAGATATCAAATTACCAAACCCTATAATGCCACAGACTTGGCATACATATTGTAAAGTGATGTAGTTGTGTTTCTACAACTTTCTGCTCATATATAATGAGTGAATTATTCCCCTAAAATTATGAAATGTCAAGCCTGTTCTAATACAGTCTTAAATTACTGAAATATTGAAAATAAAAATGTAGAAATAATAATGCTTCATTTTTTATGTTCTTTTAACATTCACAACTTAATGCTCAGCCTAAATTGATAATATAGCATATAAATTAAGTAAATAATATATGTTATAAGTCAGATGGGTAAATAATATGTGCAGCATAAAAGTATTTATGGATAATACTTTCTGGTATAAACAGAAGAATAAAATTTTAAATATTACTTTGTTAACATCAGAATGTTTATTCTATTAGCAATTATATCCTGCCATTTTTGATGTTACAAATAAAGAGCTATTTTAAGTAGAAACCTATTTAAATTTTATGTTTCCTATTTTCTGTTTTGTAGAAAAACCATGAAGAGAATCCTAGCAGACTATGGCAGTATAGTATAAACACTTATAGTAAGGAACCCAAGTTATGGATAATATTTCTGTGGTTTCAATATTTATGTCACTCAAAATTGCTTGAGGCAGTAGCACCACTTTCCCTTGTTATACTTTCCCTTTTTACGGTGCTGATAGATATTTTCTTTAATTTTCCACACTGGTAAATTAAATTGTATTTTGTTAAAGTTATGACAGATAAACAACTTATTTCAGTTTTATTTTTTATGATATGGACAAAAGATATCAGTTTGATTGTTACCCATTTGTTGCTCTTTTTAATAAAGATACCCACAAATAAAACATTTACAAATTTCTTAAAATTGCAGTTGTTTATGGAGTTAATGATGAAATTAGATCAATTATTCAATATCACATAGCTATGTGGCAAATTTTTGGTATAAACTCAAGCAGTCTAGATTCAGAATCTGTTCTCTGAGTCATAATATCATATCTTCATATATGGAACTATTTTTTACCAGGATGTATCAATTAACTTCTCCAGTGTAAAATATCACCCCATGGGCAAAGAATTTTCTGAATTCATATGCTGCATATTTTCTTCCTCATGAATGTGGGACCTGATTCTAACCAACAAAATACAATAAGAGTGATGTAATGTCATTTCCTTTATTACCTTACTCTTCATAAGATTCTTGTTTGCTGGTATATTCACCCACTCTAGAACTTCTCCCTCATGAGTTTATAGGGAAATCATACATGGCAAGATATTGTGGACACTTCTAGAACCTCTGGGTGAACCTCAGAGGTAGTGGGTGAACCCTGGGTGCTTTAAAGGAGACTTTTTTCTAGCCAAACCTTCAGCTGAAAATACAGCCTGACTATTGCTTGATTGTAACTTTCAGAGCCCTGTAGCAAAGGACCACACTAAGTAATGTCCAAATATCTGACCCATGAAAACTGTGAAATAATAATGTATATTGTTTTAAGTTACTAAATATGTTACATTTCTTTGTATAATAATCGGTAAATAATACAATCCACAAACATTGTGGTTTAAAACAACTATTCACTTAGCTAACAGTTCTGCAGGTTTGCAATTCGTCTTGAACCACCTAGGTAGATCTCATCTGATTGGCTCAGGTGTCTGCCATCGGGGAACATCAGCATCTATAGATGGTTCATGAAGATTTCGACTAAGATGGGTATTAACTGGACACTCTCTCCATGTGATTTCTCATCATTCAGCAGTGTATTCCAGACTTGTTCCCAAGGTGGCAGAAGAGGTTCAATGTTTAGTGAGAGAAGAGATCAAATTTATAACTGCTTGTCAAGTCTCTATTTTGTCACATTAGCCAGTGTTCCATTGTCTGGAACAAGTTATATGACAGATTCAAACTCAAGGACTGATATTTAGATGCCTCATTATAAGGAGAGAAGTTGCAACATCTATTTTTACAATCTATCTCACTAGTATCTCCATGTCTGTAAATGTTACCACAATTTGTTCAGTAGATAAAATCTGTAATTTTGGAAGCATCATTGATTCTTCTTTTCTTTAATCCCCTTCTTGATTCTTTTACCATTGCAACCTAAATATAATTAGTTTATTCTATACAGTGGAATGTAAACAATCCACAACACAAATGTCCTTCACCTGGCCTGCTACAGTATTTCCCCTAATTTTTCCTCATGTTTTCTTTCTGCCTCCTTCATCCTCTAGTCACTGTGCAGAAAAGAGATGATCATAATAATTATTATTTCATACTTGCCTATAATTTGAGATCTATATGACAGATCACATGTAAAAATTTTAAATATGGAAAACAGCATGGTACTAAATATTGATGGAAATTCAAACATATAATGGTTAGGTTGTTCCATGGAGCTTCAAGAGTCTAACACTCTAAATTTTTGGAAATTTTTATGTTGGCGAGTATCTTTTGAGGACAACAAAAGAAGATCTACAGTCTCAGCTGTTTAGACTTTGGGGCCTCATGTTTAAATAAGGCAACCTCTAAGTATTCTTTTTTTGAATGATAATCACCGCATAGCCATTAGGCCCTGTCCCATTCTAATATTATTAAATATCTCTAATATAATATCATAGACAATATCAGAAAAAAGACTGAAAAAGAAAGGAACAACTCAATAAAACTCATAATTTAAAGAGATGGCACATTCATAATTATGATGAGGGCAGCAAAAAATGAATGAAAAATCATGGCTTGGTGCTTTATCATTCAACAAGTACATAGAATGTTAGGCATATAGGATGCTCCAGTGAATAAAGAAGACAGAAGAAGTTTTCAGTAGCATGAAGTCTGTGCTTCCTTGATTATTCTGTTGCTTGTATCATCTATTGGTAGCGATAGAAACTTGGATTGCTGATAGAATTTTATTGTATTCAGAAAAAAATATGACTGAGCATTGTCTGTGGTGGACTCTGCCTAAAAGCCTGAGATGGATTTTACTTAGGTTAAAAATATTTGCCAAGCTGAGACAAAGAATCTAAGAGAAGAATCTAAGAGTTCTATCAATCTGACACTAAGGTCTCAGAACAGAATATGAGAAAATAAATAAATACTTTATATTTCCTATTGATAAGATAGCTCCTCAATTTATATGTAAAGTGATACTGGAACACATTTACAGAATCAAAAAACCCATACTAAATTATCAAGTTATGTTCCTTAGATCCAATCCAAATGCAGCGTAATTAAAAATTGATACAACAATTTGAAGCAAATTCTATAAAATTGAACAAGATATGGGGTACATGGTTAACTTTCCAGGCTTCAAAGAGCATAATATGAAGGAAAACCTGAAATGCAATAACTGCTTGTTTTCTGTTTTTGCAAATACTTGGTTTGGAATGCAGATGGGAATGGAAGATGTAATTCTTCATCATATAGCCACTTAATGTTTTTAAACAACTTCAGGCCTTATATTCCAGGAACTGATATGATTCAAAACAAAATTTGCCATTGCGGAAATAGTGGAAACTCAACCAACTCTGGTAGTTACAAGAGTAGCATTTGGACTTTGATGACATAGTTGGGCCAAATTTGGCCTCATTTTAGGTTGGAACAAAAATTGCATTTATAGAATATTTCTGATTTAGTACAAAGGATTTTGTAGTGAGAACATATGTCTTCAGTTGTTTAAATAGCAAAAATCAAACAAAAACAAGTAACAATCTGTGTTTAAAATGACAAAAACCTAAAAGGCATTTTTGTAGAGCAGTCACAAATAACCAAAAGGTTTATGAGAAAAAGTTTCCACACTCCTCAGCATCAGGGGATTGCAAACCAAAACTACAATGGGATATCACTCTGCCTCAACTTGAATGGCTAGTATAAAAAAGACAAAAATTAATGAATGCTCAAATGAATGTGGAGAAAATGGGAAATCTTATGCACAGTATAGAGGTTCCTCAAATGATTAAAAATAGATATATTATGTGATTCATCAATACTTTTAATTTGTATAAGTCAAAAAGAAAGAAAATCAATATGTCAAGGACTCCTCTACATTCTTCTCTTTATTATAGCATTGCTCACACTCACCAAGATATGGACTCAAACGTAAGTATTCATCAACAGACTAATGGACAAAAAAAAAAAACATGGTGTATATACACAATAGAATAATATTCAACCTTAAAAAAATAAAATCTGTCATTTGCAGTAGCATGTTTAACACAAAGAACATTATGTTATGTGACATAAGCCAGCCAGGCACAAAAACAAAACGAAACAATAACAACAACCAATATTGCACATTTTCACTTACAAGTGGGATCGAAAAATGTTAATCTCATTGAAGCAGAATGTACAATAGTATATACCAGAAACTGGGGAGAGTCAGATGGCAAATGGAGATATTTGTCTTAAAAAGATGATTTTGAATCTTCTCACCCCAAAGAAATGATGAATATATGAAATGATGGATATCATAAATACCTTGCTTTTAGTTTTGTGCAACATATATATCAAAATATCATACGGAATCCATAAATATATATAGTTATTATAATATGTCAAGTAAAAACAGATTCAAAATAGTCAACCCTTTGAGCTACTACTCAATAAATATTACTTCTTGCAAATAAAGAAGATAAAAGGTTTGTCTATGTGTATTTGCTGTCTTTTACTGCAAGCACTAGGGCAAAGGAATAGTTTAAAACCTCCTCTATCAGAAGCAAGAGTGTAGATGAAGTAGGTCTCATAAAGTCATACAGTGGCAAAAGGAACTGAAGCCATCATATACTTTGCTCTTCCAGTGATTCTGCTTTGACAGTATTTCTTTAAGAATGATTAATAGAAAAAGAATGAACATTAAGTGTGTTTTTCCAAGTATGTCTGTAGTCATTGATGGAAGATACTAGAAGACAGCTTAGGTAATTTTTCAAAAGTTATCATGTCTCAAGTTTTCCTTCTCATGAATTAGACTCTGTAGAATTTACTGTTTGAAATGCACTAAGTGATAAGAAAGAAGCAAAATACAACAACATGACAATGATAACAAAAATAATCCTCAAGCTTCTCATGGGATGGATATACATTTAAAGGAGATATTACAAGAGCAGGGATATTTTATAACTTTTAACTTCCAGGGAACCTAAAGATTATTTTATTTTTGTGGAATTATGAATGTATGGTTTATATGTAGCATTTAAAATATGCAGGAATAAAACAAAATGTTTGAAATTTAACAAATGTGTGGCAGTTTGTTGTCCATGAATGCTCACTGATTGTAAGTGAGTATGTGGCATTATTCTATGTTCCACAAATAGCCAAAAAGCAGAAGTCTCTTAGTGGACACTTCTTAAAAAATTGGAAGTACTAGTGGGGATTCACTAAGAAATCTACTTAAGAATGCATTCAGAAATCACTCTGTTTTTAACATCTGGGCTAAATTCAAGTGATGTTATCTTCAGTAGGGCTCAAAAATTAGTTTCTGTGGACCAAATCAGGATCACTGCCTTATTTTATAAGATCATGAACTACGAATGTTTTTTTTAATCTTTAAAAAGTGAAAAATATTGAAAGAAAAATATTTCATGATACAGAGAAACTGTATGCAATTAAAATTTCAATGTCTATAAATCAAATTTTGTTAGAAAACAGCTATACTTAGGTATTGCCTCTGACTATGGTCTATAGCAGATAGTTTCAACAGAGACCATACCACCAATAAAATAGAAAATATTTACTACCTAACTTTTTAAGGAAGATGTTATTAAACTGCTCTTAAATATTCAGAGCATGAGAGGATGTAATTCTCCCACGGAGTTGGGACTGTCGTTTTTGAGGCTCATCCCAATTCTGGCTCTGGTATCAGAATAGAGTACTAACATGGCTCTGTGGAAGAGGTTCTGGCCCTGGAGAGCGGGACATAGCAATCTTTTGGGCCCTAAAATTAAGAGGGCATGGACCTACCAGTCATCGGTGATTCTGGATCTTGGGGTGGTGAGACATGGCAGAAATGAGGTTCTGTGAGGACAGTTGCCATAGCAGCAAAGATCCAGAAATGATAAAATGCCATATGGCTTGGACTTTGGGGTCAAGATGCAGCACTGTGATGTCTCTCTTCCCAGACATTCTGTTTTAGCAGCTTGAACTGTGGTGATCTAGTCCAATTCCAGACAGATAAGGTGTGGGGACTTCTCAATCTGAACTGCAGGGTGGCTCAGCTCAGTCAAGGCTCTAATGCTCCAGAGAAGAACCACATCTGCTGAACACCCCCGCTGCCCCCAAAGAAAGGTTACTTGGATGAACAGAGCTCTGGATCCCTGGACCTAGGGTACCTCATCAATTGTAACAGTAGGCAGTATAAATGCTCTGATTATCCAGTGTGAGTGCTCCTAGGGGCAGGGTTCTCCTCACCTGCAGCACTGAAAAGCGTGTGTGTGAGGTGATTGCCCTGGTGTGCCAGAGGCCTGAGATCTCCACAGGGTAGGTGCTGCCTCATTTCTTGTGCTCAAAATATATCTGCTCTGAGACTTAATCTCTGAGGGGGTGAAAATTACTGCAGTCTGGCCACAGAGGGAGAGTGCAAGAGCAACTGGAGTGTGGGGGAGATAGAGCAGCTTTAGTTGACCCAGAGGATAGGGGATTTCAGAAGCTCTGCTCCGGATTGGCATACCTCTTGGTGCACACAGTGTTGTAAGGTTCAGAGATAGAATGATGCAAAGGCTATTGACCTCAGGAGCAGGGAACATTCCATCAATGGGCCTGGTTCCATGATGACAGAGAGCAGTAACAACATTTCAGCTCCTTGTTTGGGATTAACTCTGTTAATTTTTTAATTTAATGCTATACTTGACCATCATATATATTTTAGTTACACATTCTAATCAGTTTTGAAAATCCATTATTGTTTTCTAATAATAATCCAAATTAAGTTATTGGATTTTTATAGTGGCTATACTATTATCTATAAAACTTAAAAGTTTGGATCTTTCTATATACATTATTTATTCTTACTTATTTTATTTAGTAATAATGCATTATCTAAAATGTCAGTACTATTTGAATAAGAAATATCTTTATCTTGTTTATCTTTGAATAAACTATTTACCTCAAAGAGTTCTTTTCCCTTAAATTTCACACATATACTTTATGAGTTGGGAAATAATTCCTTGTATTCTTAGCTGAGTTTAGTTGTGTTTGACAAGAAATACATAATAAGAATCTACTTAGATAATAATACTCTTCATCTTTGTTATTGAAAAAAAATATGTTAATATACTATGTAATATGTTCCTGAAAGAAATACTCATCTGTTTATGATATATTATTGTATTATTTAACATATTAATTGAGTAGATTTACTCTCTTAATAATTAAGATTTTTAGTCTAAACAATAAAGAAATTCTATATTTTTTATGCTATCCTTCTCTGGTATATACATATTTACCTCCATAAAAAATGAATGTGCCAAATGAAATGATAGTTTCTACCTGAATAGGAACAAATGACTTCATTAAAAGAGGACTTGTGAGCTAATATGTATTCTTCTCTTCCAGTGTTGAGAAAATAGAAAAGATTTCATGAATACAATCAACTTTCTGTCACTGAGTGTCTTTTTGGTATGTTTTGACCAAAAGAAAATAATTCCCTGGCAACAGATAAACAGCCGTTTTTTTTTCCCCTCACAGTATATTCAATGTGTGTTTACTATTGGATGGTATGTGATAAATCAAGGTTTAAAATGATAAATGGAAAAGTATACATCGTTGCAACACTTATAAGTTGTTACATAAAATTTCTATGGTTTATAGTGCCCTGCTTGTCTGAGCCAACTGATTTTACACTGATTGTGGTACTGATTACTGGATCTCCATAAAATAATTTTCCTCAGATTAATAGAGCCTCAGTTTTTTTCTGCATATATATACCTATCTAGGTATGGCATTTACTGTTTCCTTGTAGTTAGTTGTGGTCATGTGTCTTAGTATTGATTGATGAGATATTAAGTGCAAAAATTGTTTGTGACTTCTGGGAAGTCTTTTTAGTAGAGTGAAGACAAACATTTCTTCTTCCTTCCTCTCTTTTCCCTTCTGCATTTGCAAACTGAATATTGTGTCTGGAATAATAGCAGAAAAGAAGGAATTAAGAATAAAAACCATACTCTGGAATTGCACAAGAAGAAAACTGGAAAAAGATCATTTTTCTGATGATTGTGAGCCTAGTATTCCTACACTTGACTGTTTGTTGTCTAGATTCTCTCATATTGGAGAGGAAAAAATGTGGATTTTTTTAAAATCACATTTTATTTCTAGTAGTCTCAGATAAGCCAAATTCTAAAGCAATTGAAGGTTACCTACCAACATATCACCTCCGGTTAAGAAAGACCATTTCTTTTGCAGACCCTGCTTATGAAGGCCAGTAAATCCACACTGCTCTACTTTTCAAGCTCAGCTTCAATATCTGTTAAAAAGAGACAAGATTTCTTGTGACACCAGTTAAGTTAACAGAAATGTTTTCAAACAATTTTCAAACTTTATATTCACTTAAGCCCTGATCTTTGAGAGACTCCACTGGCCAAATTAAATGCTATAAATTCAAATCAAATCTGTTTTGCTGACATCTGCTTAGACAGTACCACACCACCACGTGAACCTTGTATGTTATAAGGTTTATAAGAATCTATTTTCTAACTTTGACAGAAAGCAAAGCACAAATATTCATGTTTTGGTATATTTAGGGAGCTCCAGAAGCTTAATCTTTGTTTAGGAATAATTTTCCAACTTGGGAAATGAATTGCTTGTAAATATCACTGCATAAAAACAAACACAAAAACAAATTCTTCATTTGTGCATTTCTGCTTTTCAAAATATTTTAAATACATAAGATGCCCCAACATTATTATGTGAATAAAAAAAAAATCTGTCCCACTGGTCTTCTGGGTATATAAGAGTTGGTCTCCTTACTTTTGAGAAGCATTGTTTGGAAAAGGAGAAATATTGGTGTCAGACCACTATAAGCCATGCATTTAGACAAGCTCTGGTTTGAAAACTACTTGAGAACTCGTTTGTATAATTTTAATAGTACAAGTGAAAAATGCAGATCTTTGCTGAGAAGCATGAGTTAACTCTTCGTTGAATACTGCCTGGTTTATCCCTGCATGTCTGTGATTTTTTTGCTTAATGATTGGTGACTGTATATATTGGAGGAACTTCAGCAGTCTCCTCAGCCAGAGGCTTTCCAGTGTCCCAGGATGATCCACACAGATGACAACCCATTTTATAAAAGTGCCTCTGGGCTGTGACATTTCAAGTGTATTTTCAATTCTAGTAGAACTGGTTATGGTAAAGAAAAATCCAATAATATATTTTGCTTTGTTGTGTGAATAAGTTTGCTCAACTTTGGAAAGTACAAGAAAATTTTGTTATTGTATAAAGAGTGGGGTACTTCAAATTTCCTTTAAAAATCATTCAGGTATCAGAACAGACAAAAGAAGATATTTCTTTAAATTTTGAATTACACTGATAAGGATACATACACTTGGCTGATCTTTTAGGGGAAGAAACATGGTTCTTACACACACACACACACACACACACACACACATATGCATAGTGGTAATCTTGGTTTTTTTAATTTGCAACATAGTTCTATTATTGCTTTTATGTAATAATTATATCATGACACCCAGAATGATTATTTTCCCTGTCAAATTGGCAATATAAAGTTTGTTTTTGCTTGAAAATGCATCTGTTATTTCCATTTGCCTCACACATGGCAGGGAATAGAGTGGATTTATTTGATGTCATGTTTTCTTTAGCCTGTTTATCAGATGATACTGTGGGAAACTATGACCTACTCAGTGTCAATGTAGGTATTTGCAATTATCTTTATCACTTCCTTCCAAGTGGATTATGTGTATGTATTTTACGTAATTTCAATTATTTTAAGATAATAATTCTATGGTTCAGAAAAACATATATATTTTTTTACTTTTAGAAATAGATCTTGATAAGTTTAAAACTTGTATCTTCTCTTATCGCAAAAAGAAATTCCATTTCTTTTAAAAACCCTAAGTTAAAAAGGAATGTGTTATGGTTTGGATATGTGGTATCCCCCAAATCTCATTGTGAGACAAGGCAAGAACATTCAGAGGTGAAATGATCAGATTATGAAAGTTGTAACCTCATCAATAGATTAATCCACTTATGGATTAACTGGATGGTAAGCACAGGCAAACAGGGTGTGGCTGGAGGAGGCAGGTCCCTGGGGCATGCCTTTGAGATTCATATTTTTTTCCTGTTGAATGAAGCTTTTTCTCAGCTTCCTTTATTACCTTGTCCTGAGCTGCTTTCTTCCTCTATACCCCTACACCCTTCCACCAAGGTGTTCTGCCTCACCTCAGACCCAGAGCAATGACTCCCACTGTCTATGAACTGACACCTCTGAAACCATGAGCCAAATAAGCTTTTCCTCCTTTAATTGTTTTTGTTGGGTCTTTTAGTCACAGCAGCGAAAAAACTGACTAAAACAGAATGATACTCACCAATGTTCCTATTATGCTCACCACAAGGTCCTGATTCCTAGGAATATGTTTTTGTTAACTTATGTTCCAGTGTTTCCATTTTGAATGTCTTAACACCTGTTCTTTTCAGAGATATTCTTGTCTGTAAATTTTTGAAGAGACAGTTTGTTTAAAATATTATTTGTATGTTTTTTTTTTTTAAGAATAGAGAACTTACAAGAACACAGTCTAAACCTTATTGTCAGGAAAAAAATATCATTAGCTGTAAATTTGAGAAAAAGATGAGAGTTTCCAGTAATTGATCCCAATGGATTTGTTTATAAATGGCCTATTTTTTCATAGCTGTTAATTGCACTCATTATATAAAGAAAGTAATGTGGAATAATTAAGAATAAAAGTTACATGAAATGATCCAACAGAACAGAAATACTCTTTTTCAAGGTAGACTGAAATCACTTAGCACATGTCTTATTTTTTGATCTAGTAAACTTTAATGAAAAATCTCATCCAATTTCTTAGTTCAGGAATGATTTGCATACTCAGAATTCTAGGTAATATTTGCCAATTCTTCCTCATCTATAATAATGTTAATTTAGGATTATTAAAATTATTAAAAACCCAAATTTTCAATATGAACTAACAAGTGTAATGACACATTTTTTAAGGCATCTTATCCCTAAGTTTGATAGTGTTATTTTTGGAAAGCCTGCAAAGAATATCACCATTTTACCTTTATGTAACCATTATTGATGGGAATATTATTATTATTGACATATATCATTTTATTAGGAAACTGGTAGAGAATTCGTTTCTGAGGTCTTATAAATTTTATACTCTGTCTAGTGTTCTGCTTTAAAAGCTGCTCTGAAACTTTGTGGCATAAAGTGACAAATGTCATATGTCCTATTTTTTGTGGGTCAGAAATTCAGGCAAGGACGAGCTGAGCCATTCTGTTTTACCTGTTATTGACATGGGTCACTCAATGTTATTCAACTGACAGCTCTTGCTAGTCTAGTTTCCAAGTTGGTCATTCCTGACATCTTTTTTTTTTTTCTAAATTATTATTATTTTATTTGATACAGGGATACTGCTACATCGATGTTCATAGCAGCACAATTCACAATTGCTAGACTGTGGAACCAACCCAGATGCCCTTCAATAGATGAATGGATAAAAAAAATGTGGCATTTATACACCATGGAGTATTACGCAGCACTAAAAAATGACAAAATCATGGAATTTGCAGGGAAATGGATGGCACTAGAGCAGATTATGCTTAGTGAAGCTAGCCAATCCCTAAAAAAAAAATACCAAATGTCTTCTTTGATATAATGAGAGCAACTAAGAACAGAGCAGGGAGGAAGAGCAGGAAGAAAAGATTAACATTAAACAGATACATGAGGTGGGATGGAAAGGGAGAGAAAAGGGAAATTGCATTCCTGACATCTTAAGGCAATGGCTGGAAGGTTAAATTTCAATTGTATCCTTGTACTCTCCAGGTGGTCTCAAAGCCTCTCCATATGGTCTTGTCAGGCAGGTCATCAACTTCCTACATGGCTGCCCAGGACTCCAAGGACAAGTGTTCCAAGGAGTTCTAATAACAAATACCACAGGTGTCTTATATCTCATCTTTCCAGTTCCAGAATGTCACTTCCACTATATTAAATTCATCAGGCATTTAAAACCAGTTCAGATCCAATGAATGAGGTATTAGAATCCACCTTTCAATGATAGGAATAACAATACATTGTTGCTGTCTTTATTCTACCACAGACATTTTGCCCAGGACAATTGAATTGATTCATAGAGGCTGAGAATTTGTGCAACACTAGCCTAGGGATTGTAAATTTGTCCTTGTGTAGTAATATATTCTGTATGAAAATTTCCCCTCTATATCACTGGAGGGTACTTCTCAGTTCTTTAGTTTTCTCACTATGAGATGCATATGCCTACCATACACAATTTTATTTTTATTAATTGTGATATGTTTATCTTTACTTTAATCCTTAGCAAGTAGGTAAGAGAAAATGTTTATGAGATTTATTCTGTTATTTAATGGTTTTGACTTAGTAGATTTGGGAAATACTCAGAACAATGCAAAGGCAATTAGATATCAATATTTGGATTTTTTAGAATATAAATTACATATTTCTCTCAATATAGATTACTTAATTTAGCAGAGTTCAATTTTTGTTGTACAATACTAAGTAAAAATTGTATTTTAAAAATGTCTCTATTTTCATAAAACAAAGGCAGGTACAAAGCAGGCCATGGAATAGGGAAATTTGTCTTTCATATAGACAGCAAAGTAATTACACCCAAGTAACAACTGTGCATGTATTTTGTTTGTTTGTTTTGGTTTTTTTTTTTTTTTTTTTGGTACTTGACATTTTATTTTGAGAGAGGGTCTTCCTAAGTCACTTAGACCCTTGCTAAATTACTGAGGCTGGCCTTGAACTTTCAATCCTCTTGCTTCAGCCTCTGGACTCACTGGGATTACAAGTGTGTGCCACCACACCCGGCCTAACAAATGTGTTTTATTGACATATGCTTTGAAATTTACCAAGGTTTTTATACACAAAATATCATCATTCTTTACAGTAACCATTTTTAAAATATAGTGGTTAGCATTTCATTTTTATAACAAAATAAAGAAATTAAGTCAAGAGAGATTAACTTGTTTTTTGAGGCTCACTTGGCCAAGACAGGTTCAGGTCTCACACTCAAGTCTGAGTCACCAGGAAGAGCAGAATATTTAGACATGTCATTTTTCTAAGAATCTTAAATGTTTGTGAAGAAAAGAAGGAATCCTGATGTTTCATGAAACATCCAAATAAGATAAACACTGCAAAGAGTTAGATTTATTTAAAAATGAATAATTGATCAGATAACTGGTTACCTTATTATCAAATCATGACCAATCTTTAGATTACATTCAATTCAGTTAAAACTTTACTAAGTGCCTTTCATGTATGTGTAAAATTTCTGTACTCAGAGAATCTAAAACAGAATCTACAAAAATAACTATCTTAAGACAAAAGTTACTTGGAAATTCAGAAGTAGTATCATTCTAATTATCATTCACAGAGCTAATAATAGCACTGAGAAGCATTAGTTTTGCATTACTTTAATTTTCTTTTTGATGTCACCATTATGGTTATCTTAGGTTGACAAAAAATGACTGCTTCCCATTGCCATGCCTTCGACCTTTTCCATGAAAGCAGACAATATTATGCTGTTGAGTTCCTAGAAATTTTGTTAAATTCTATTTTCTGCAATTATGAATTACATAATTAAATCGGGTGATAGATACCTGAATTACTGTGATTTCTGCTTGCTAGAAATTATATAAACATGTATCAAAGCACTTTGTAAAAAATAAAATTAAACTAAACTTGACTTAGCCTAGTATTATTAATGTTCTAATCCAAAGAGTAAATAAAGCACAATATAATAAAATCCAAATCTAAGTATAAATAATTTTATGTACCACAAGCAAAGTACTTGTTACTATGACATTATTATTGTAGCAGTGTTGTTTTTGGTATCATTGCTGAGATATTTTGAATTACAGAAGAATCCATCCCTGGAGAGTGTATGATTTAAACATAATGCTATTCTAATATTTTAAGGTAAAATTTCTGCATACACATATTTAGATATCTAATACTTTTTTGTATATCCTATTTTTCTTAATTTTCTTTTTAAAAAGAAACTAAATATGTTTCTATAATTTAATTTATATTCTAGTGATATTAGCAATTCAAATCATGATAATTCATGATGAATTGATATTTAGATTTTTATTTTTAGGTGGAATTTTCTAAAGTCAATTTTACTGAATTTTCATCACTAAGCCATATTTGCATTCATAATTAACTGTTGGCACTTTCTAAACTTCTTTCTTAATATGACAATAGGGAGAAAGGACTGAAAGTACTTAAAAAATTGTTAATCATTTTCTGTGTTACCTAATCTTATCTGAAATCTACTAATGGGAATAAATTTGTAAAAGTGTATTTGAATATATGTGAGTATATTATCATCAACCTGGAGGCTATTAATAAAACTATAATAAATTATTTTATGATAAATTAAGCTACTTAAAATATTTATTTATAAAACTTAAAACATTGTGTGAAAATGACCATACAAACATAAGAATATTTTATGTGAATTGATACATTTGTATTATATGGCATTTACAACACTATATCAAGTAAATATGTGTGCGTTATAGACTCATAAATGACAGAACAAATGTTTAAAAGTAGGAAAAGCAACTATAATTCTGAGTTTTAAAAACTGCTATTTTGAAGATAAATTTAGACATTTTCATGTAGAAAATTCAGTTTATAGCCATCTAGGTATGTAACTCACAAATATAAGTGATTATTGCTTGAAATATTATATAGAATTTCATATGAAAAAAAGGAAGGTATTACTTTATTTTAATTTTCTCTCTATTAATGTGCCAGTGTACAGGATGTTGCTTTTAAAAACAAAGAAAATCCAAGAAACTCAAATTATCTATATTTAAATTTGCTTATGAGAATATTAATCTTCAGCATCACCCATAAAATCATTAGTGAATATGACATAGGCAAGGAAGCAGTTCAACTGTATTTGCTTTTATTTCTAAACATACAATTAAACAACATAGCCTTCTTATATTTTCAGTAAGGTCAAGTCATGTGATGTAGTGCCATCTATTGGTATAGAAAGGGCAAAATGTTCCCACACTTCCAGGCCTATCCCATTAAGGTTTTCTGAACTTGATCTGCCATACTGTTTCCCATTTGACCGCATGTTGTTGAAAGTCATAATCAGCTTGGAAGCCCAAGTATGGAGTGTGGCAGAGTTCAGTGTTGAAGACTGAATGATTATCTCAACAATCAGGGCAGAGATGACTGCTAGTAAGAAATAGAAGTTTTGATTTTGAGCAAAAATGAAATAAATGTCGATCATATTTAAAACAGTACACATTTTAGGTTGATGTGTGTGTGCACATGCATGTGTACATCCATGTAGTTAGTATAATATTACACAAAGACTCTGAAAACATATGGAGTGAAGATAAAACTCAATGAAATATAATTTGAGTGATTAGAAATGGTACTACTTTCTATCGGTGCTTTCCAA